GGGGTGTACTGTGTCTGTTCCGCCGGAGTGTACTGTGTTTGTTCCGCCATGCATTGAATATTACTACCATATCTGGTCTAGCGTTTCTACTATATATTTGGAGATTCTGGATAAAATACATCGGAGAATCTGCAATGTTATTGGTCCTGACCTAGCATCACGACTTCAGTCACTTTCCCAACATAGCTTTCCTCTGCGTTTTTTTATAAATACTTTTTATGGTAGCTTTTCTGATTAGTTTTCCTCTATGTTACGTAGACTTTTACCAATTCAGTACTAGATTGAGGGCAAGTTCTTAATTTACCGTTGAAATAACTACATATAACCGCAAGTTCTATGCCAAGATGTTCTTCTCTTACGCTTATGGAACTCTCCGTCGGCTTTTTGCTTCCCTATTGAGCTTTGCTTTTCAAAAAAATTAAAGTTGTCTTCTTAATTAATTTTCTTTTATTATACTTTTTCCTTAATAATGTTTTCTTTTTCTCATATAATTTCACACTGAGTAACCCTTTGCGTCTTAGTGGCTTTATTCCCTTGCTTTCGGCGAAATGATTAAAACAAATATGGAACTCTCTGTAAGCCAATCATTTTTTTTTATATTGGGCAAGTAAACATAAAATACGCCTTTGCGTCGTGTGTCATAGCGAATACGTCAACGGATTAACGCAGACTAAAAACACATTACGACACAACATATGACCGCCCATAAGTACGACCAAGTGTAGGTCGTTGATCTCTGACTGTCGCGCATATTTTTACTAACGCTTGATGTACATATAAATAGAATTAAAGCCTGATGATCCGTTTCCCAGACGATATGCCATTAACTTTAACCTCAATGTCTGACGTATTTTTAAAATACCCACAATTAATTGCGATCGAGGTTCGTATATAACATCAGTTGGTTGAACGGATAAAGCCAGACCTAAAATGACCAGGTATCGTACGTCTTGCTTTTGAACAGTTGAGACGCATAATAAGGAAAGAAAGCTCGGAGAATTTGACACTCACTGGACATACTGAAAACAAAAGCGACACAGTGAATCAATATGTAGCATACTTGACGAGCTTATGTAAATAGAAGGCAAAACAGGCGATGGGTGGTATAGTGAAAAGACAAATCTTAAAAAGGACAGGAAGTTGTGGAGACCCATGATCGTTCACGTCTTGAAAGGACATGGCAAAATATATTTAAAAAAAAAGACTAGTTATCATTTTTTTTCTGTTTGGATTGAAGAATCGGTGAGCCGAGTTCGAATTCCACTCGAATCCATTGCATTCACTTACGTACTATTACCCTTGGGAAAGGTATGACTACTCTTCTTCTCCGCCCTGCTACGCATAAGTCGGGTTCTATAGACTTGGATGGCAACTGGTCTACCACAGAAAGAAATGACAACCTACTGCGGGAAAAATATCTGCCTCTTTCTGATAAAGTCAATGATCTGAACTTCTTTACGGTTCGTAAAGGAAAGTTAAGTGAAGATTCTCAGTATTACATATGAAAGCGGAGATCCGGGTTCAAATTTTGACAAAGACTAAACTATATTAGTTTTTATTATATAACTAGCAGCATGGCCCGGCGTTGCCCGTGCTTGATTCAAAAATCCTACGACTCATACAGCAATCGCAATCACTTGACTTAAAATATTTTTGCTCTTCCTTGCCTTTAAAGGAGTGCCCTTTGCCGTGATGATGTTGCTACACGCCTTACTTCTTGCCTATCTCACACTGCGGATTTTTTCTAAGCTCTATACTAAACATTAAATCTGTTACGAAAAAAGAACTAAACAAAATGAACACAAAACGATCAGCTTTAAAAAAGGACTCGTAACTGGAAAAACCGAATGAAAAAAGAATGTCAACACCGAATACTTTTTCACACCCAACCCAGTTCTGCGGAATCAGAATCAACGTTGAGTTTAAGCAAGCGAATGAGCCAATTGGAGTAAAGTGCCATGCAGATTTAAATTTTTCCCACTTGTGACAAATGCAGCTATCGATTTTTTTTGCATGCTAGCATGCTAGTTAACATTCATGTCAGTCAGCTGTTGACTCTCACGCTGGCCAATAGAATCTTCCTGCCTATTCGTGGCAGCCAGCTATAGGCTCTCACTCTGGCCAGTAGAAAATGGCCGCAAACTACATGAAAACCGCCGTAGAAGCATGAAAAAATCGATTATTTCCCCTATCGATGGGAGTTGGGAAATGCAACGTCGGTCTTGGCCTTCCCGCTAACTTGGAGCATGTGCATATAAATTTTGGTGCAAATCCGTCGAAAATTGCAGCCGTGCATTCGTTACACACACACACATCCTGCCTTTTATAGATAGAGATCAATGTTCCCACAATAAAAATGGTTTAAATATTAATTAATATTTACCGTATAAAATGAATTACAAAAGTAAATCAAAATGTGAAGGCAAATTCTAGACAATGACTTTATGATGAAGAACAAATGGATGTGTCACTTATCGACATAGCCAACGGCGATGTACTTTATCCCTTTCGAGAAGAAGCTTTTCTGTTGCTTACGAAGCCACGTCTGCAGCGCTTGTCTGTTTGAACACGCAACACGCACGAATATTACGGAATCCCAAAACATAATGCTCTATAGTTTGTGCAAATCCATAGCTAATGCCCAAGATTGTCTCTACTTGCGCTATCTTAATTCGTCTGTCTTACTTATCAGGGCATCTACCCATTGGATGTGTTCTTCCGCACTCGATACTAATAGGCGACCAGTTCAGTTTTCGTCCGTTACAGATGTTCAACCCGCTTTAAAGCATTCTACCCACTCATACACCTTTCATCCATTCATAATGCGTGCTCCACACTGCGCCAACGTCTGCCGGTTTGATTCATCTGCTCACAGAAAGCGCACTACGGCGTCTTGTTCCTCGAAGGTGTAATCGCTGAGTGGAGCGTCCATACGTCTGATCTCGTTACTCCTGCTACTCGACTGAACGATGGAAGGCTGCGCGAGGACAGCTACCGACAATCTCAGGCGTATGTGTGGTGTCCCGCGTCAGCGCCTCCCTGCTGTTTGTCCTGGGTATGATGATAAACTACATCTGGCAGCAGGATCTCTGATCGGGAGATTGGAGTTAGGAAATAATCGGTAATTTCTCTTGAAAAGTAGACAATGTAATTAAAATAACTTCATCTGCCAACATCGAATACCTAAAGACCAAATTTCAGGCGTAGCTTATGAAGAACATAAAAAAGTAATGTTCGTATACAACAGTTTCTAGTTACTACTTAAGTAAAATAGGGTTTTTTTTGTGATGTACAGTGGCCGTTAATAATTAAGTACAACTCAAGACTTAAACAATATTTAATTACTACCACAAATAAATACTTAAAAACAAAGAAGTAAAAGTCAATCAAAGATAATTAATCATTTCATTGAATACCCTGTTACTAGCTAGGCTCAGTTTAACGTCCGGTAAATCCTAAATAAAAAACCAAATCATCGACGCACAATAATTCACACTAATTCGACTGGATAGTTCCATTCAATAGTCACTCAATAATCACTGCAGTCAGTAGCCTGACACCGCAATTTATACACCTGGTGGAAAATATATTCATAAGTCCAGGGTATCACGCTCGAACCTTGGTGTCGGTAGTTAGTCATTTTCGTCTTATATGACAGATTTATAAGCGAAAGGCTTATGGTGTGATTGCCTTGTTCCCCGGATGTAAAACACGTAGAGAATAGTTGAAGCATCGTCAAGAGACGTATTTATGAATGCGTGAAGCCTTTTGGATTCGAAAATAAAATTTCGAAGCAATTAAGATGCTAACAAACCTATTACTGAAAATGAAATTCCTGCTGACAGTAGCTTCAACGTATTGCAGAGCGTAGAAATTATATCAGTAAAGAATGCTACTTTTCTGTTTTCTTATCGCACCCAATATTTTTTTTTAATTATTTGTTGAATGAGTTAATTGCTTTCGTCTTAGATCCTTAGGAGGTGGAGGGCCATGATCGCCTTCGTCCCGAGGACACACGGAATATATATATATATAAAAAAAATATCTACAGATTGGTTTACAAGGATAATTGCATAAAGAGTGCAAAGGTCAAAAATATTTGTAAAGTTCAAGCATGAACTTTGTTTTATTTTCATGCTGTGACCCTCCTTGGCTTTCCAAATAATAGTTCTATAATTACGTTTCTTATTTGCATAAAATGTTGGAACGAAAAAGACCATGAAAAGTTTTAAATAAAATAAAGCCTTCAGTTGCGCAAAGGTGCGCCGTGAACAATTGTACAAGTGGTAAACTTTAGTTAAGAGAACTGCCAAGAAATATTTGAAAAAGAAAGAAAAAGAAACAAAACAACACAGAAAAATAGGCTGCCATCTTGTACGTTTTCGAGAGTAGATACAGCATTGTGAAACTCCGACATGTACAGACCTAGATTCATATATTTAATCATTCTACCCACTAAGGTGAAATACGCCACAAAGCATTCTTTCAACATGCTGAGCTACATCTGCGAATAGTTGCAAACATTAATCCAGCTCTCTTTTGGTATAAAAAATCTTCGTTGTCAGATAGGGAGGTATTAGATAGGGGTAAGATCTCAAAGAACTAGAATGATATTCATAATTGATCGCTGGTCAGGAATGAAACTTTGTCTATTTGACAGTATTATTAAGTAAAACCTTTATAGAAGAGTATAATCTTATACAGATATCTCTGACTCTCTCTCTCTGTCTCTCGCTCTCTCTCTCTACATATATATATATATATATATATATATATATATATATATATATATATATATGAATTACCACTAGTACTCACTAGGTGTTCCATGCGTTCGAGCTTATTAAATAAATTTATTTCACTGGATGCTCCCCAGTTTCGGCCTTGATTCACATCTAACATACAATTACTATAATATCTTATAATATATTTGTAAATATATATATATATATGCGTGTGTGCGTGTATGTGTATGCATATAGATGAATTCGTTTTATATATTATAATATCTTAATGAGATGCCTGATCAACAGAACACAAAGCGGAAAAGTTAGATAGATAGATAGATAGATAGATAGATAGATAGATAGATAGATAGATTTGTTTACATTAGAATACCTTAATGAGATGTTTGAATAACAACACAAAGCGGAAAGTTTAGATAGATAGATAGATAGATAGATAGATAGATAGATAGATTTGTTTACATTAGAATACCTTAATGAGAAGTTTGAATAACAACACAAAGCGGAAAGTTTAGATAGATAGATAGATAGATAGATAGATAGATAGATAGATAGATAGATAGATAGATTAATTTATACATACATACATACATACATACATTGGGAAGTTGCTCCCTGATCGTTCTTTGCATCAATGTAAAAAAAATACTTCAAATGTTATTTGTGATCGGAGGCAAGCCGCTCCACTTGAAAGGATGTTATCATATTATCTTCCACGCCCCATTTTCCAGTGGGATCTATCATTATGCCATAATAAGCTTTGCTTAATACATTTCCACAACACATGCACCATGCACACACATAGATAGATAGATAGATAGATAGATAGATAGATAGATAGATAGATAGATTACCAGTTTAAACGTTATTTTTACTGGATACACATATTTAAGTAGACGTTCCGTTTACTTATTAAACGGTATATTCACTTATTTTCGCCTACTGACCTGAATATAGGCGAAAATAATTTTAGAAAAATATTGACTCGTCGGAGAGCTCAAATTTTTCTTTAATAATAATTAGTTAGGTTTTAATAAAATGTGAGTATGAACTAAAAATACCGTTTAAACTGATCAATTCAGTCGGATTAATAAATTAAAAAATCCATTATATATATATATATATATATATATATATTATTGAATCGAGACTTCTGGCTGCTGGCATTTGTATACATTCGTAAGTTACAGGCAGAGAACGGTAGATTTATATATATATATATATATATATATATATATATATATATATATATATATATATATATATATATAGAGGTTTTTATGACGGTTACGTGTACGTTACAGGTCTGATTCCTGTCAGAGGGCACATATTTTATATGGAATTTCTCGGATATTCAAGCCGTTAAATACTGTCAATACTGTTCAATACTTAAATATTTCTATTTATAAAAATAACGAATAAACAGAATATATATATATATATATATATATATATATATATATATATATATATATATATATATATATATGAATGAATGAAGAAATATAGTTTTTGGGTGCTATAATTCTCGGATAAAGTGCTCAATATCAGAGATAGAGTGTATGTAAGTATAAATATAAAAGTGAACATTGAAGTCAACACTCAGAGGCGACAGGCTGTTTCACCCTAGACGCATTTGTGAGGCCTCCGTGGTTATATATATATATATATATATATATATATATATATATATATATATATATATATATATATATAACCACTCGTCTACGTGGAAGTATTTTCTTACTAATCTTAGCATAGCGTTCACACTGGAATGAAGCCCCCACGAAGATGGTACTAAATCAGTACTATTCTTTGACTTCATCTGAAACTTCTCATTGGTTCATTTTTATTTAACTGTTTCATTTGCATACCTCCCGTCATTTTATGATAGACCAAAAAGCCTTTCTGTTCTACTCTTTTGAGGCGGGTTCATGCCTTTATATAAAACAAGGGATTTGAACTTCCATTGATTTATGTTAAAATGTATCTAAATTATCTATTTCTTAAAACTGAAATTTAAGGGTCTATTTATATGTGCAGGGAGAATACAGGTTTGCAACACTACAACAAATGCTCATTAATAAGGAAAAAAATGTCTTGAACATTTTTCTTAGAAAAATGACAGACAGACATACAGCATGTCTTTCAAGTTAATTTTACGCCTTCTTTGCGACGTGGAAAAATGGAATTCTTATTTTTTTAATGGCGTCCTTATCTGCGTATATTTGCGCTCTTACACATATATGAACTTATACCCAGAGGTGACTGACAGGACACTCTCCTGGTTGACAGGCTGTTTCCTCCGGTGGAGGTGGTAGGATATTGGTGATTGTTCACTTAGAAAACTTCTCCGAAATAAAAGGCCATGTCACTCCAGTGACGAGAACTTCATTGTAACGTTATCTCTAAGCAAAATCATAATACCAGTTGAAATAATATTGATATATTCTTTTCAAAAATATATAACAACAATAAAATGTTCGATTTTCCTTGCAGCCAAGTTGGTTTTATAAAGTAATTTTGTGTTCTTAGATCGGTGTAAAATGTGTGAACAAATTTACTTTATGACGGTGAGCCTAATGTGTTTGTGAGTTCACAGAGAAAGTCTTAGTCGGCTGCTGCTGCTGGTTAATCCCTTCTATTGCGTGCGTGGACGAGGCCTTAGTCAGCGGCTGATGGCTGTCTCTCTTTCATTGTGTGCATGGGTGTGGATGCTTGTGTGTGTGTGTGTGTGTGTGTGTGTGTGTGTCTACGTACGTGTAGATCAAATTAGCCTCCCAAATTGTTTTTTGAGTCCCAATCCGTAGGGGGGGGGGATCAAAATCTAATTTCACATAGAAGTGTGAACTTTATGAATACAAGGTTTTCATTGGTTAGAAAATAATTTTCACCCTGTGTCGTGAAAACCAATTTTTTCTCGAATTTGCGGGAGTGTTGAAGAGAGTTATTATTCTTATTTTCTAAATGGTCCAAAAATAACACATTTTAGGTCTACAATTACGTCCGTAAGTATTTTCGCAGTGTTTAACTTAGTAAGGATTCTTTATCCAACAAACATTCTGATGGGATTTTGTTAGTTGAAAAATAAATATAGGATTGAATTCCTATAAGTATTCAACCACATTCACATTACATAATCGCCATTTTCAAAGAATTTCAAAGGCGGGGGCAGTTATAAATCCTTTTTTTTTTTTTTAAGCATTACGCCCCGAGCAAGGCGTGAAGCCACTAGGACGCAAGGAGTTACAGAAGATTTGGAGCATGATTAGATAGGAGTGAGAGGAAAGGATGAGGAGAAGGATAGTGGATAGATCAAGGCAATTGGAGATGTCGATTAACATTGCATTTGAATATATGGAGATTATAGCTATCAGGGAAGCATTATTAGGGAAGGGTGTTCCACAGGCGAGAGGTGCGAGGTATGAAGCTATTGGAGTAGAATCGACGGCTACATTTAATAGTTTCAACAGTGAAAGGGTGAGAGCGGGATGCCAGCCTCGTAGGGCGCTTGAATTCATTAATTCTGGGAACCAGTGAAAGCAGCTCATCGGAGCAATTACCATGAAAGTATTTGCGTCTGTGAGAGGGCAACTGCAGACGAGATGCCAGATCAGGGCCAATTATATTACATATCCGTCTCTGGATCTTGTCAAGAACTCCGAGGTAAACAGAGGGTGCACCAGACCATATATGGCAGCAATACTCCATGCAAGGGCGAATGGTTGATTTGTATATTTGAAGTATCGATTCCGGGAGAAAAATTTCCTGGCGCGGCAAGACGAAGCAATTGACTCAATGTATTTGTTCCATCTCAAGTCAGCAGTCAACGTGAGACCGAGCAGATTCAGAGAGTTGATCTCAAGAATTTGACTATCAGACATTCTAATGGGGGGGGGGGGGAAGGATCTCTATGGTGATGAGAAATATGTTTAATAGCCAATGGTTTGAGGGAGATCAATAACGTCTATGTACTACTTCTTGCATGCAGGACATGTCATAAAGATTTTATTGATTGATTAATTTATTTTTTTACAGCTTATCAACCCTTTGAAAGTTATTTAAAGCCATATATTAGTTTTTGGTTCTAAGAAATTTTGAGAGATAATAAGGATTTTAATGATACAAGTCATATTAATTAACCTGTAGCTGGGAGCAGAAGAGGCGGATTCTTAGCTTAACCAAGTGCATTGGCGCGTAAATGATTATAACGGACCCGACTGGAACTCGAACTCGGATCCCCGATTTTCAATTCCGAGCCATTATCTATTACACCAGTGGCACACCCCAGCTTAAAAAGATGTTTTGCTTCTAACATGTTCGTTTTAAGAGTTGAAATAGATAGATAGATAGATAGATAGATCGACACTGCAGACTAACTAGTAGTTGTTTGATGTCTGAAATGGTCTTCAGGCGTGAAACTGGCAACTGCGATGCAGTAATGACTTCAATGCCCAGACTGCATATATCTACAAACGACCTATCCTTGATATTGACCATTCTTTCCCCTATAAATAAAGCAAATTATAAATTGTATAATACATATATATGTTTATGTGTGTGTATTTGTGCGTATCAGTTGGCTAAGGAAGGAAATGATTCTATTTTATGAAAAAAGTATTTATTTTTTAATCAAATTCTCTTCTTTGCCACTGCACTTAAACTAATGCTTCTCTATTAATCACAGAAAAAAAGTAATGGAACATTATAAAATGATAATTTCAGCTCAAATTTCAGCAGATAACTACATGTTAGATAGATAGATAGATAAGTGCTGAATAGAGATAGATATACTTAGAAGAGACATAGATAGATAGATAGATAGATAGATAGATAGATAGATAGATAGATAGATAGATAGATAAAGAACAGGCTGAGATAGATAGATAGATAGATAGATAGATAGATAGATAGATAGATAGATAGATAAGTGCTGAATAGAGATATACTTAGAAGAAACAGATAGATAGATAGATAGATAGATAGATAGATAGATAGATAGATAGATAGATATTGAAGCGAGATAGATAGATAGATAGATAGATAGATAGATAGATAGATAGATATTAAAGTGACATAGATAGATAGATAGATAGATAGATAGATAGATAGATAGATATTAAAGCGACATAGATAGATAGATATTAAAGCGACATAGATAGATAGATAGATAGATAGATAGATCTTGAAAATATGCAAATGCAGCTCAAGATAAACATGAAATGATACTGTATTCAACTGAACGCATAAATACTCTTATTGTTAAATATTTATCGTTAGAAGTACATGTTTCCATTGAATTTAGTCTTATTCAGTTGGACTTTGCTTGGGGGATTACTTGCATGGTATTTTAAACAATGTTTACAAAAGAAATACTTCCGAGTTGCTCTCGATAGAACTTAGAGAATCGGAATTAAACAGCGAAGAAACAAGAAAGTAAAGAAAGGACAAACTCTAATTGACATTCTCAGAGTTTTTATTTCTGCAACGCTTGAAAAAAATGGCGGGCTCTAATGAATAGCAAAGGTCGAATCAAAAATTACCTTCGGTTATTCTCACTTCTCTCATAAATTAAATACAGAACTGAAGACATTCGCAGGAATGCGTAGTAGATACGTCTCCCCAAAATATATTTATATAAACGCACACAAACACTTACATATATATATATATGTGTGTGTGTGTGTGAGTGTGTAGCATTGTGTTCCTCCAATGCAGAAAGGTCAAAGAGGTTATTTCTGAAATATAACGTTTTTAAGGCAATAATTTTAGTAATTATGGTGCTCAGTATTAATAGAATGAATATTGGTAGTACTATTTACCACCCCACGCCAAACATACACATAAACAAACACACACAGAGACAGACACACAAAAACACACACATACACAAACACACACACACACAGACGCATACACATATATATATATATATATATATATATATATATATATAAGAATGTAAAGTATTGCTTATTGACACATATATATATATATATATATATATATATATATATATATATATATAAGAATGTAAAAGTATTTCTTATTGACGCATATATATATATATATATATATATATATATATATATATGTATATATGAATGTAAAGTATTGCTTATTGAGTGCTCGTGTTAAGAAAACAGTGTTCGATGTATATAAACAGATCTGAAGTTTATTACATATTACATTAGAATATATTCTTCCTTACCGCAAGCACAACATTGAGTTTTTATGCACGATGTAATCATCAGGTGATAGTTTCAAACAGCACCTCACCTTAGTATGGTGCTTGAAACACAGTGAGGAAAAATAAATGTATATTTATTATTTGGTATATATATATATATATATATATATATATATATATATATATATATATATATATATATATATATATATATATATATATATATATATACGGCCGGTTAGGAGCGTTCGCATTCTGACTATGAGATCGGGTTCAAATCTAACCATTGTCAATTTCTCAGCAAGGACGGTCAATCCTCGCGTGCGGCACCTTTAGGAAAAACATAGCACGGGTTGATCCAAGTACGATGTCACAAATCATCGTGGCCGAGGCCTTGAGCGTGCCGGCCTTGTTCAAATTGTTGATCACGCTAGATAACAAGCTCTTTCCCAGAAAGCTCTGCTCAGTATTGTTGCAGTATAAACATCAGGTGGGCTCTGTGGGTGTTGAATAAACACAAATGCGCCTAAGTTCCTAGCTTTAATTGAAAAGCACTTTCCAACGAATAGCAAACTTAGCGAGATCTTTAACAAAAACACCTTAAAATTGAGTTACAGCTGCACTGAAAATCTAGAAAGAATCATAAAAAGACATAATAAGAAAATCCTAGAAAAACACGTATGCCAAAACAGTAATAAAACTCATAAACTAAAATTAGATAGAAATAACGAAAAATTATATGATTGTAGAAACCCTAAAAACTGCCCGTTGGAAAATAAATGCCTCACAAAATCTGTGGTATACCAGTACACTATCTCATCCATTGAGAGTCCTAACACTGATAGGATATACATAGGCTCAACGAAGAATGATTTTAAAATTAGATGGAGGCAACACAAGAGCTCCTTCAACAATATTCAAAATAGAAATCAGACATCTCTATCCCAATATTTCTGGCATCTAAAAGAAGCAAATAAAACACCAAAAGTAAAATGGAAAATAGTAAATAAAACAAGAACTTGTAAAACCTAGAATGACCCATGCCCTTTTTGCATACACGAAAAACTGCACATCATTAAATTTCTAAATAATGAAAAATTATTAAACCATAGGCAGGAGTTAACGGTTTTTTGCCGACATCAACAAACTTTCGCATTAAATAATTAGCATAAAAAAAATCCCATAGCTTAATAAAAGTCTTAAAAGCTTAGCCAAATCATTAAATAGGAAAAACCCTTTCTGTAGTCGTCAAAAAAAAATAATTGAAATTCAGTGTAATACGGTTTGTATATAAAACACCCACTTGAATAAACAAATAAATAAATAGATAATCAGATGAACAATAATAAAACACAATCCTCCCGACACATAACGAATTGTAGGCGCGCCATGAAAATATCCCTCACTGGGAACCAACTAAAGGATGACCGCAAACATTAGCCTTGAAATAGATACCGTACCCAACCTGAGCAAAACCTCTCAGAAGATGATGAATCTATAGATAAGAATTAACTCTCTGACCACTTAACGAAGAAAACTAGTCTAGCCACTCCCACAATAATGAATGTTATAACGGACCATGCCTAAAAACACACGTAAACCAAGAAATAGCTTATTCCTAAAATTTTACTTGAAGATGAAACGGGACTAAACACCTCAATTCAACTTAATTTTAATAATTATTTGGATGGTTTCGGCTCTCGTTTTTGAAACATGAGAACTCTTATGTAGCGAAGGAATCATATTTTTAAACAAAAAATATTATAATATAAGCTCTACTTCTGTATGGAGCACTGTCTTCTTAAAAATAAAAACAAAAATACTAAGGAACTCCGGATTATGCACCCAACATGTTCTTTTCTATTTTCTGCATACCTGCGCACTTATATATATATATATATATATATATATATATATATATATATAGGATTTCGATGGATAAATTGTCGTCTAAAGTATTCAAAAATGAAAAATAAAATTGACAATTCATTTTATCAGATATTTTTACCAAAATTGCACATGAATATCTTTAAAATACTAAAGAGTAAATTTATTCAATAAAATCACCATTGGCTTCAACCACGGCCTCCAGACGACTTCGGAATCTCCTACAACTCTTTTGGACAGTCTCGTGGTTAAAGTTGGTGAATGCTGCCATAATCCTTGCCTTCTGCTTATCTTTGGTGTTACAAGTAGTTTTGTTGGTCTCTCTCTCAACTGCGCCCCACATAATAATCAAGGGGGTGCTGTCTGGGAAGTTAGGTAGCCAGATGTAAGGAGTGATGTAGTCGCAGAAATTGTCTGACAGCCATGACTCTGATCCTGTGCGGCATGGTGCAAAGACCTGTTGCCAGACATAGGGTCTTCCAGAAGTCACCATCATGACCCAAGGCAGCACTACCTCCTCAAATTACTTGATGAAGGCTTCCGTATTTTGTTTGAAGACCTGTGAGGCATAAAGTCATCATCACTAGTGATCACTTTTGTAATCACGATTAGGCTCATCCAACACTTTCCGAATTCTATGCACTGTCCGTAGATTGACACCCAAACACTGGCGCATTGGAGCTTCCGGGAGGAATGCGAGTCAGTATAGCATGCTGTTAGCAAATTTCTGGCGGAGTAAATTGCGTCATGGTGATCTTTTTCTCACAGACGGTGTCCAACTGACCCTAATATACTGTGTAGTCGACAAAATCAAAAAACAACGCGCATACGCGAAATTAACAATATAAAATGGCGACAAATGGCGATATATATATATATATATATATATATATATATATATATATATATATCATCATTTTTGCTGGTTGATGTTATATTCATAAACCCGAATCCAGATTTTCTTGATTTTTGTTCTAATCCTTCGTTCCATTTATCAGGAGGTATCACCAATTGATTGCTGATTTTTTCATTTCTTTATATTTATATTGTGTTAAAATTATTTATACGCTGTTTATTGTTAGAAAGTTGATATTTCTTTTGTGTGTGAGTGTGTGTTCTCCCCGATAATCTTTCGTTATTTCTTTTCTTTCTTTTTTTTTCTCTTTCTAATGTGCGTTAAAGATAACAATATCATTTCCGGTACAAATGACATGACAAGGTAATTAGTTTTTTTGTAATATTCTGGGTTTTTCTTAAGTTTGGGAATGTAGGCGTTTTTCATCTTATATTTATTTCCTTTTAAAGTATATTTTTTAAATTAATGGTTAAATGATAAAATAAATATTTATTATATGTCTTCACTTAGCCATTGTTTCAATTTTTTATTTACTTGTAAACAGTTTGATTTTACATGTCTTGGGGGTACCTTAATATTAGAGTATTAATTATGCAAGGTTAGTTTTATAATTCTATTTTATTTATTGTTGTTTAAATATAAATACACACACACACACACACACACATATATATATATATATATATATATATATATATATATATATATATATTACATACATATAAACAGAAACATACATACATTACATATGTATATAAACACGCATACACGTACATACCCCGTATATATATATATATATATATATATATATATATATATATATATATATATATATATAATCAATGCTTAAATGACAAAATAAATGTTTTGTTTATATGTCTGCACTTGCCCATTATTTTATTTCTCTTATTTAGTAGTTCTTTTTTTCGTTTTTTTTTTTTTATCTAGCTTGGTGATATCTTAAATATGAGGACATTAGTTATGAAAAATAAAGTTTATAACTGAATTTATTTGTTGTTTTTTTCTGAACACACACACACAAATATATATATATAATATTGGTAAAATCGCTATGTTGTTTGAACATATATATATATATATAATATAATATAATATCGGTAAAATTAGTAAAACATCCTTGAAAGAGCATGCAAATATACAATAGATGCTCTACGAATCAACCATTAGCATAAAACAGCTCAAGGCATAGAATGTTTTACTCATATATTAAAGGAATAAATAATGTACGTT